GGTGGCGCTGTGGAAAAAAGCAGGTCTGGTGCTGTGCACGGGGGCTGGAGTGAGTGTTGGGATGTGAGGGTCCATCTCGCCCTGCCCTGACTCTTCTTTCCTCTTTGGCAGCTCAGAGGGGCCGACAGCCCAGCGGAGACCCCCCCCGTGCCCGCCCAGGGCCAGCCCGGGGTCCCCATGGAGTGGGAGTTGCAGAGGGCAGTCGCCGAGCAGTAGCTGCAGCAGTGGGATGTTTACCTGGCGGTGCCTCATCCTTTGGGCTGTGCTGGTCGCAGCCGCGCTCTCCGCTGCCCGGCCGGCCCCGACCCTGCCCGACCAAGGTAAGAGCAGCAAAGTGCCCGGTCCCTCTTCCTTCGTGTTTCCTGGTGATAGGATAAACCACCCTCCTCTGCAAGAGAGGCCGAGGCTGGTGTGAGGTCCAGCACAGGCACATCCACCTGCAGCTGCTGCTGGGGACGTGGTGTTTCTGCTCTGGTTTGTGCAGGTGTGGGCTCTGCATCCCCCCTGGGTGTCCTAAACCTGGAGGGGAATGGTGGCAAAACTCCAGGGTGTTGGTTTGGAGAAGGATACGGAGCCCCAGGGGCTGCGTCCCCAGCGGGGGGTCACTGTGTGTTGTGGCACTTGCTTCCCTGTTTCAACCTGCACCCCAAGACCTCTGTGAAGCTTTGATCAAGCCCTGTGGCCGCTGGTGCTGGGTCATCCTGGGCTCAGTGGGTGGGGGTGAGGATTTGGGGGCAGGGCACCAGCACTGGCTCTGCCAGCACATGGGATGAGCTCACCTCGTAGAGACCCTCAGGATGCTCTGGCGTTGCCCTCAGCTGGGGAATGCCCATGGGGGTGGCTTTGTTGTCTTGCATGGGGGGATCCCTGCTTGTTGTAGCCCCACACACCGACTGCCTTCCACCCAGGGCTGGCTCTGTTGGTTCCTGCAGCCCTGGTCTCTGCAGCTCTGTGAGGCATCATTAGGGCTGGACAGCACAGCCCAGGCAATCCTGCTCACTTTGCATCCCTGCTGTCCTCTAAAAGCCTTGCAAGGGCTCATGACCTGCAATGAGGAGGCTGGGGATTTGGTCCTGTCCCAGCACAACAAAGCTCTGGAGCCCAGTGGCAGCCTGGGATGCAGTGGGTGGGTGGGTGACCTGGCCCCTGAGACAGCAGGCTCAGAAAGCACTGCTCTGGCATTTCAAAGCCTTGGCCTTCCCCTCGGTGAGGCAGAGAATAACCAGACCAGGAACCGCTGCGCAGGACTCCTGCCTTTTGGTTTTAATTACCCAAGAATGTCTGGGCTGTGGGGTACAGCTTTTCTTTTCAAGGCTGGCCCCCTTCCCTCTTCCTCCCACCCAGACCCGGGTGCAGGTGTGGGCACAGTGCTGCACGGTGCCCTGGGTGAGCAGCAGAGCTCCCTGTGGCCCCATGACAGCTCAGGGATTGGGAAGGGGCAGGAGCTGGCACCGGTGAGCAAACCCACTGTGGTGGGGTTTGGCTGGAAGACCCAGGCTGGGAGCTGGAAGCATGCTGGGATGCAGGCAGGGGGCCAGGGCTGGTGCGTCCAGTGTAAGCAGCAGGTTCCCTGGTTGTGGACAGATCCCGTGGGATGGCTGGAGCTGTGAGTGGTCCCCAGGGAGCTGCAGGCTCCAGAGAGGAGCCTGGGCAGAGCGTTGCTCGCAGGCACCATCTCAGATTTTTCCATTGGTGTGCTCAGCCCCTGTTTTTGTAAATAAAGTGGTTGGCAGCAGTAAACATGTTTTTCTCAGGAGATTGCTCTTCCTGGAAGAGCTTTCCTGGTGGCGTTTCAGTTAAGGATGGCTCTTGTGCTGCCAGGAGATGCCCCAGCCCTGGCTGTGACACTTAGAAGACTGTCTGGGTGTTCAGACCTGGTGCTGACTTGAGCAGTGGTGGATTTTGGGGTGCTTAGGGAGCCCTGCAGCCTCCAGGGGGTTTGGGAAGCAGCGTCAGACAGTGGAGAGGTTGGAGAGGAGGGAGCTGGTTCCTCGCCAGCCTCATGCCAGGGCTAACAATAACCACTGGAAATGTTTCCCGACACGGTTCTCACCAGGGCGGCCCAATTAGTGCCACAGCAGGAGCCTGGCTGGGGCAGAGTCCATCCCTTGGCTCCAGGGCCAGCTGGTGGGAACAAAATGTTCCCAGCAGGACATGCGGGATGGGAAGAGCTGGCCCTGGGCCAGGACACTCGGTGGGGCTGTGTCACCAGCACCTTGCGGGTCACCTGCCGGGGTGAGCTCCAGCCCCTGGGGAGTTTAGGGTCCCACAGGGTGTAGATGGGGGTCACTCCTGTGCTGCGGGGCATCGTGTCCCCAGGGCTGGGCTCCCTCTCCTTCCTCCCACATCCCCACCAGTTCACAGCCCTGTCTGGGGGCAGCGGTGGCCGCGCTCAGGTCCCCTCCATGACGGAGGCAGCAGCTTTCCTGGACTTTGTTCGGGATGTTTATGGGGTTTCAGTTTACTCGGGCTCTGAGGCAGCTCAACTCCCTTCTCAGGGAGCGAATAATCCCCCGCGCCCGGCCAGCAGCCCCTGCCTGCCTGCCAGGAGGGTTTCCAGCCTCTCCTCGTGGCGTGGGGAGAGGGTCTGGGAGCTCGGCCTTTGTCAGGGGCTCGCTCCTGTTGCTCAGAAATCTGCAGCAAATAAAATATTAATGGGCACTTACTGCATTTTATAGTTACCTAAATTTGGAGGTGGTAAAAAAAGCCCTAGTTAAGGGGAAAAGCCAAGAAATTTCCATGAGCAACCTCCATCCCTTCCCTCACAAAGCCTCTCTTTGTCTTCAGGTTAAATAGAAACCTGCAGAAAATTGCCGAGGGGATTTTTTTTTTTTTCCCCCTCTCTCCTTGTCTGCTATTGTCCTCCCTGCTGTTCAGGCATTTCCAGCACTCAGGGTCTACCTCATCCCTGCCCGGGGGCTGCTGGGGGTGCAAAGTGGCCGAGCAGGTTTTTGTGGGGAGGGAGGGGGGGTCCTTGAGCAGCTAGTTTTGGGGTATGAGCCTCGATGGACACCCCTGTGCAGGGGATGCTTTCTCCATCTGCCCTGTGGAGCAGGAGGGATTGGTAGCAGAGCCCAGGGTGCAGCCCCCCGACCCTTGGGGTTGGGAGCAGGGGGCTTCCCTATTTCTTGAGGCCACTAGCTGCTGTCTTCTCCTCCTCTCCCCAAAATCCACTCAGTAGTGGCAGGAGAATGGCACTAGAACCTGGGGGCTTCAGTCTGCCACCCCCCCACACACACACGCAGCAGCAAAGATGTTTGGGGGTGTTGTAGCCTGGAAAATGCTGTCACCAGCCACAGCATCCCCAGAGGTGGCACAGGAAGGGTCCTTGGCTTGTCCCTCTTGCTCCCGAGGTGGACTGTTGGCTCTTGGCTTTGTCCCCTGCTCCCCACTTTCCTGCTGCCCCCCCACC